TATATATATATATATATATATATATATGTATGTATATATACATGAATCAGCGAATAAATATTATGGCATGAGTATGACACATGAACGGAGATCAAGTGCTAATGACAGATTAGAGATCACTGGACTGAATGATAAAGTGAGTATCATCAGCGTAAATAATCCGAGAGAATTGAGAACGCAGTGGAATGAAATTGAACATTAACAACGTATTATAATATCTGTATCACGAGACCAAGATCACAAAATACAACAATGGAAATAAAGATTGAAAAGAAGAACATTCCACCAAGAGCGCAGAATTAATAAGGTTATACAACTGTTCTGAAAAACCGATTTTCAATGAAAAATATATTCGAACGCTTCGATCATTCGAATATTTGTTACAAATTATTATTTTGGTCAATGATTATATTGTATCGCCACACAATGAAGGTATCACTTCTTGACTGCTATAAACTCTTCCCGAAACAAGATTTATGATACCGTAAGTATTGGCATTATTACGTATAATCTTTTGTTTTGTTGGATAATTATCCTGTGTTACAGGTGCAAAGTTAAATTGTTCATAAATGACACTAGCCAAGTTATTATTATTATTATTATTGTTATTATTATTATTATCACCGATGTCGTCAGGACTCTCTATTTGTCTTACATATATCATTTCTTCATCCTCGTTGTTTCCGATTTCAACAATTTTATCAATCTTATTTCGACTGCAGTTCATCGAAACATTGACATATTCGTATGGTGACTGATTACGTAGTGCAGTATTTGCTATATTTTCCTCTTTAAAACCAGTGAGATTATCATCGCTGCACACTTTATTCTTACTGTCGTCAATTAAACCATTATTACTATCGTTTGAATGATTTTTCTGACTACCCGAATCGCAACACGATGTTTCATTATCTTTCAACAATTCTTTTGCACTTTCCTTAACGTCACTCGTAGTAATATGATTTCGACCATTATCGCTACTACGCAATAAATTCGCAGAAATAATTTTGCCACTAGAACGGACGTGACTTGATAAAACTGGTTGTCTATTTGATGTGTTCGCTGGCATCGTGAACGTTCTTTTGCGATCAGTATAAGAGTCATTTGCACTCATAATTACGCCGCGTTCACTGATGCAGTCTTTTGGATGATGACCACCACGTTCTGAATTTAATGGGCGCACCAAGTGTGCACATGATGACGAACAATCATTACTAACTGATCTCCGATTCAAACTAATTCGTTTGCGGTCCACAGAAATGCATTCTCGATTAATTTCATCCACTTTGGTTGGCTGTTTCTCTAAATGTTGCGTGTTGATACTATCAAAACAGAACTTCACTTCATTTTTCACTCTTCCCAAATGATCCATATAATTATTAAGATTATGCGTTAATGCTCCATTGTTGCTATTATCATTACTTGGTGGGAGCTGTTGACATTTGTACAGTTCGTTCCAAATGCTTGTTGCTGGTGGAGTTCGAACCTTCAATTGAGGCTAGTTTATTGTCAGGATTTTTTTGGCTTCATATTTATAAACAATCACAATCTGTTTTATTTCACTTATATCATTTCGATTACTTTGGAAAAACGCATCAAAATTTAGCAATAAATTGATTAGATCAACTATCGACAGCAATTCTAGAAATTGTATAAAGAATCGCTGTTTCCATAAGTAATTGTTTCATGAAAAATTTTGCTGCAAATGAACAGAATTTACACAAACCATAAAATTCACTACCAAACACCTGCTAACCAAAAATAATACCTCCGAAGCAGGGATAGGCTCAGTATTAGAGCGGGAAAACGGTAGGAAAAGGCGTGAACGTCCCTCCAGCTGCTCATTCGATGGATCACCAACCTTCCGATCCCTTCAAGAAAATAATTCATCAGACGGTCGAGTGATATCACATCTTAGACTGTTCGAAATAATCTCTTTATAAACGAAACATCATAAATGTACTAATCGCTGAACGACTTCATCATTAATATTCATATGATCTCTCACACTCTTCAAATAACTGCACTATTACCTCTGTCTGCATGACGAAAAATCATTACCGTTGTTATGATGAATGGCCGTATTACATATGACTTTCAATAAAAGATATACTGCCAACCGAGTGTTTGACTGCTCCTATTACATGATCCACTCTATGCACAAAGATGGCATTTCAATTGATTACTCACTTTATCCGAGTGAAATCAATACTTTGAATTAGCACAAGCTAATGTACCAACAGGTCTTTGAATATGAACGACAACTTACAACGATAATTTTGACTGTCCCATTGGCATATCGTTTGGACAACGCCGTCTACAGAAATAATCTTTCGGCTCGTCGTTCGTAAAGGGTCGTTCGGCTGCGGTATCCTTGAAAATGAATTGCATCATGAAAGAAGTAATTGCACTGTAACGAATCCAACAATGAACAATGAACGAACCATTTTGAAATGGTCTAATGAAGTGATGATATTCTGAATAGATTTACTCCAAGTATCAATCTGAAGCGATGTATCACAAGGAGCGACCTGACCATTCACTTCACCACTAATCGACAACGGAGAACATCGATGATGTTTGATAACAGTGAATGGAGCGGACACTTTCCATTCATACTCAACTTCCTTATCGTACAACTCCTGAACATCTCTACACTTATTCTTTCTAAACAATATTTTGACAAATTTCACTATAACAGTCATAAAAAGCTGACTTTGAATAAAAACGAATGTGTGTTATAATTTAAAAGATAAAATTAAGTCCCTTCCCCTGATGGCAAATCAGCGCGTTTCAATGCGACATCAGTTTACATCTCAAGTAATTCCAAACATGAATTCTTGATATTTAAAGTAACAGTTCGAAAATTCTAACAATTTTGGTACAAAGAAACGATAAAATAGATGAAAGATGGGTGGCTAAACATTGGAAAAAACATAACCCGAAACTGAATTTTACCGTTGAAATTTGATGGCGAAGTTTCGAAGAGGGTAACAACTGCGATGAAACACGATTTAATAGAGCCTTTTTTTCTTGCGATAAGGTCACATAAGCAGAACGTGAAGACGAAGAATTGTGGGTTCTCAAAGACTGGACTGTCATCATTGGATCAAATGAAAATGACATTGGAAATTTATGCCATACAATCAAACAGCTAACTGTTACTTCCATAAGCAAAATAATTTAACTATTTGCAATCAGAATGAGAGCAAGCGACAAAGAACCTACTCGTGGCTGTTGAGTATATCGCTAATGGATCGTGCGTCCGAATAAAGGCATGTGTGCGTTGCCTGAACACGTATTTTTGCTTTCTGCATTATTCTTTTAAAAAAGCGTTCTTTTTTTGTGAGTTTCGTCAAAATGTCTGCCAAGTCTGATCCAATCGGTGCGCAGAGATAATCTTTTTGACGCAAATATCGTGCAATACATAGATCTGATCGTGAGCTACCCACCAATACAATCTGAAAAACCGTTGAATTACAGGGTGCTGACGATAATCACGGCAATAACACAACACCAACACGAAACTATCATATTAATGGCAAGAATGATCTTAAAAATTGCACAAATGCAATAAAGGAATAATTCATCATTTTCAACAACTTTGCAAAAATTACTCACCATCAGTAAAACTCAACAACTGAAATAATGCGCATTTTGAGGAACAAATAAACCAAATCAACAAGAAAATATCCATTAAAAATTTTCAAAAGACCCCCAACAATGTAACTGCATCGACGTTATGAATGCAGTCAGTAATAACAATTACAATAACCGCAGAATGAAAACGCAGCTGGTAATAATACTGGCTTAAGATGAAAACAATGAATTACTCCTCAACTGATGCGAAGCTAGTCACAGAATATTACCTTAGAAAAACTGACTCCTCTTTGAGTAGCTTCACGTAAGTACCACAGAAACTGTTGGCCTCTACACAAATTTGGCGGACAATATTTGCAAATGACGAAGTTTCGCGATCTTAGCACTGGTTTGTATTCATCATACGCAATTGAGCGCAACGTATTTGTTATCACATCAACTTTACCGACCGCTATCTGCAATATTTGTATTTTGCTTTTACTTATATCCAATCAAATCTTGAACATCAACTCAACCATTCGCATAGCTTCACAGAGAAAATTCATAAGATTTGGTCGCACGTAAAAAATAAAAAAGACACAATGAAATAAATGCAGCAAGCGTTCATTAGATAACTGAAATTAGATAAATAGCGAAATGATGAAAGTTGAACAACGAAGCAAAAATTTTACTGATGGATGAAGATAAAATGAAACCTTTTTTGCAGCAAGGGTTTGTTCCAACATTATATTATTGTAATCTGAAACGATGAGTGCATCGACCGAGTCATCGCGTTGTAACGTCTCGAACACTGATCGAATTCCTATGAGACGAGATTCTTTACGAATCACACAAAAACAATACGAAACATTCCAAAACAAAGGCAACAATTAAATGAAATGAACAGCGCAGAACAATACCTATACGAATTTGTGTTTCATCTGCAATTTGTTGCGAAAAGTTTTGTATCTCATCGCCAGTTTTGCTACGAATGTTCTCCAATAGTTGACTGATTTCTGCTTGAAAATTTTTTGTTGGATACAGAAGACGTTGCTTTTGAAGTTCACAACTATTTTCAATACCCAGTTGTGCTGCCTTCTTCTGCAAGATCACAACGAGCTTGCGACATTGATTCATTTTTTCATTTACACATTCAAAATATTATAATTTAAGTTGTTTTATTAGCGTATTTCTTTCGATTGACACAACTCGAAAAGACAATAATAAACATTAAGTGGAACTGAAGACAGACTGCTGAAGTGATGCAGCAATTATTTTTCTGCGGTCACAACGAACAATCGAGCTCATCATCATGGAAATTTTTGTAAAATTTAACTGGCAACACGATGAGGAGCACTGACCAGGTTCAGTGAGCACACAATGACGATCAATCCATTTTCTAATCTCCTCTTAATTTTGGTTTTCGATCACCCAAAAAAAAATTAAACGTGATGTAACAAGAACAAGTAAGAGTTGAAATGAAATTACCAGAAAATGCGCGTAAGGATCCGCATTGCTCACAATGACACCTTCAAAATTGAAAACAACTAATCGATGCGTCATTATTCAAACCGACGTTCAATGAACTGATTCATCCAAGCGACTAAATCTTTTCGGTAAGATGATGCACGAACTCATCAAATTAACGATGTTCATCGTTGTGATCATCTGAACTGTATGAAATATCAGAACGGAACAAAAACTGCGATTACATCTCAACGTGATGAAAATGGAATTTTAAGAAGCGAGAAGGGATGAGCAATATATATCTTCATTGCCATACATTAGCCATCACCTCACTTCATAAAGAAGCACACATCTCACGAACGCCTCAGACTAACTGTACGATGAGATAATTGTTCCCATCAATTACAAACAATCTTACTTATTAGTGCAGTATGCTCAAAAATACTTCGTCAATAAATTAATAGTGAAAAGGGAAATCGTTCAACAAATATGAACGTCACTTGTAAACGGTTATAAACCGCAAAATTAGTGTCATAAATCGTTAAAGAGAATACAGCTGAAAATTATCCAAACATTTATTAGGGAATTAAAACAAAATGAACGACCAACAAAACCATAAATAAACTGATGATACAGTGAAACGAATTCATACAGATTTGCTCTCACAGAAAGAATATATATATATATATGAATAATTATATGTTCCGATGAAACAACAAACATTCTCACTCATATTTGAAAATTAATTCCTAACATCAACATCACTAATTCTGCAACGATCAGTCAATGAAGAACTTGCCATTATCATTCATAAAATATTGGGAACGCATTTTCGATTCGAAGAAAAATTAGTGCACTTCGCATGCGGTGAACATTAATGGTATGCTGCTCTGTTTTATACAACCAATAGAATCGTGTTAATATGACTTACAATCATA